AATACAATTCAGCGAAATATAGTTAATCTCAAAGTTCGCACCGAACTGCAGAACGACCTTGCTGCCCTTGAATGCCAGTCACAAATTTTGGAATCGTATTTTAAACAAATTCTTCAAATTCAATCACAGATCGAACGGCTGGATGCGGCTGACGACGGCCGGCAAGAATTAGAGGACGTATTCATAGAAACCAAGGCAATTATCATCACTCGTATTGGGGCGTCAAAGAACGACCGGCCAGAAGATGCAAGTTTCTTTAATTCATCGGCAAATTGCGCAACTGGGCACCATAATCGTCTGCCTTCGTTAAAGCTGCCTAAGTTCGACGGGAAGTATGGTGACTACATGAAGTTTATTACTGCCTTTACTAGCATGGTACATGATGACGCTTCTATATCAGCTGTTGACAAATTTAACTACTTGCTTAGCTGTTTGTCTGGCCCCGCGCTGAGTGTTGTGGCCCCTTTTCAAGTGTCCGAAATCAATTATCCAAAGGCGTTAAAGCAGTTAAAGGAGCGTTACGATAAAAAGGTTTTGATTTTCATAGAGCACATATCTAGCTTATTTGATATTCAAATTATGAAAAGATCTGATCCCGCAGCTCTTCGTTGTATCTTGGATACCGTCTCCGCGCTGCGTGAATCGTTGTTGCCGTTAGGAACAGAAGCAGATGTTATGAACGCAATACTAATTCATCTTGTTTTATCTAAAATTGATGCAGATTCGAAATTATCGTACGATCGGGTTCAAGAATACGAGGTGTTGCCTACTTGGGAGGATTGTTATCGCAGTTTAAGCCGTCATTGTCAATTTTTGGAGAGCAACGTTAAACGAACATCTGATGAGAAGCCAAAGGAAAGGCCCACGCAGAATAGAAGAGCCTTTGTTACTGATCACTCTCTCAATCAGTGCCCTTCATTTGGTTTACTAGACTGGCAGGATAAATTGAATTTCGTCAAGCAATCCGCTCTGTGCATAAATTGTTTGCGCACCGGCCATTTGGCGAGCAGTTGTCCAAGTAGATCTCGTTGCCGCGTTTGTCAAGGCTTACATCATACTATTCTGGATAGAACTGCTCATCCAGAGCAACCAACACAAATTGTCTCCCACACATCTCAGCAGCAGCGGGAACCCACACATCCTGTTTCCATGCTTTCGCGTCATTCGAGGCGCGCTTTAATTCCTACGGCAATAGTATTGATTAAGGATAATTCGGAATATTTCAGCCAGCCAGAGCTTTGCTTTGATCTACAAAGATGCTGCAAATGAGGAGTAATGATTTTTTCAAAAAGCTTAGGAATAGCTGACAACTTAGAAATACCTCTGTAGTTACTGGCTTTTAACTTGTTACCTTTTTTGAAAAGAGGAATAACAAATGATTCCTTCCAAATATTTGGGAATTGTGAAGTTTCTAGAGATAAGGTAAACAACTTGTGAAGAGGTTTGCACAGGGCCTTAGCGCAATACCTAAGCAGGCACCCAGGGTCCTGGCGAATAAACAAGCTTAATACAAAGAAGATCCAAAAGAAGAGAACTTTCTGTTAAAGTGGGACAGAATATGAGGTTTGACTTGGATACGGTGTAAGAGTAAGGCTGTGATGAATAATCTAAAGTAGAGTATGTCGTTTAAAAAAAATTGGGCAAATAAATCGGCTATTGCCTGATCTGTGGTTGCCGTCATGTTTTCGAACGACAGCGAGGAAGGAAAAGAATTAGATTTACGCTTGGTGTAAATGGCCGAGCAATTAAATATCTAGTAAAAACAGATTGAGAACCGGTATTTTTATATTTCCTAAAAAGTCTGGACTTTACATTTCTTAAGTGTGTCAACTCTTTGCTAAACCAAGGTGATTTATTGGAAGTTGACGGATAGTACCACGGAACACAGGAATTAAAAAATGAGTTTATTGCAGTGTAAAAAATATTAACTGCATCTTACATATTATTGCATAAGTAAAGATCCGACCAACTAAAGCCAGAAATAAAATTATTTAGCCTCAGAAAGTCTGCCTTGCGAAAACAATGTTTTCGTTTGGATGATATTTTTGATTTTTCTTCTATAACTCTACCCGTATCAAATGAAAGTTCGATTGTATGGTAATATGGATCTTCAGGTTGCGTGAGTGGTGCTACTCTGGACAGAAACACACATTCAGGATTTGATACAAAACACAAATCAAGTAGGCGACCTAATGAATTTCGAACATGTTTTACTTGAGATAGAGATATGTCAAGCAGGCCGTCAATAAAATCATGCTGTGCTATAGGTAGTAAGACTTTCGATCCATCCTCAGTGGACCTAGTAACTCCAGATATATTAAAATCACCTAGAACTACCAACTGATGCCTATCGGAAAGCTTATTTGCAACGGAGCTCCCGCAGCTCTTCGTTGTATCTTGGATACCGTCTCCGCGCTGCGTGAATCGTTGTTGCCGTTAGGAACAGAAGCAGATGTTATGAACGCAATACTAATTCATCTTGTTTTATCTAAAATTGATGCAGATTCGAAATTATCGTACGATCGGGTTCAAGAATACGAGGTGTTGCCTACTTGGGAGGATTGTTATCGCAGTTTAAGCCGTCATTGTCAATTTTTGGAGAGCAACGTTAAACGAACATCTGATGAGAAGCCAAAGGAAAGGCCCACGCAGAATAGAAGAGCCTTTGTTACTGATCACTCTCTCAATCAGTGCCCTTCATTTGGTTTACTAGACTGGCAGGATAAATTGAATTTCGTCAAGCAATCCGCTCTGTGCATAAATTGTTTGCGCACCGGCCATTTGGCGAGCAGTTGTCCAAGTAGATCTCGTTGCCGCGTTTGTCAAGGCTTACATCATACTATTCTGCATAGAACTGCTCATCCAGAGCAACCAACACAAATTGTCTCCCACACATCTCAGCAGCAGCGGGAACCCACACATCCTGTTTCCATGCTTTCGCGTCATTCGAGGCGCGCTTTAATTCCTACGGCAATAGTATTGATTAAGGATAATTCGGAATATTTCAGCCAGCCAGAGCTTTGCTTGACTCAGGCTCTGAAATAAATTTCATCTCTGAGGAGTTGGCCAAGCTCCTTCAGCTCAGATTCGAGAGACAGAAGTATGACATTTCTGGCATAGGCGATGTCAGAACGCAGATGAGATTCTCGGTCTCAACAACTATTCGATCACGATTATCTGTAAATGAATGGCATTTACAATTCGCTGTAGCCAAGACAATATCGCTTAATCAGCCAGAGCGATTCGTTGACACTTCACAATGGAACATACCCTCAGAGATTGACCTTGCAGATCCAGGCTTCTACATGCCTCACCGGATTGACCTACTCATCAGCACACAAGAGTTTTTTGATTTACTTTCACATGGCAAAATTTCTTTAGGTTCAGGCCTTCCTTGCCTGGTCAATACTGCACTTGGTTGGATCGTTGGCGGAAAGGTTTCTGATATAACGCAATCCCAAGTCGTAACATGCAACATGGCACGTTCTACGGAGCTGCAAGGTGCATTAGAAAGGTTTTGGCTAATCGAGGAGTTTGATTCGCACGATCAAGGTTTCACCGCAGAAGAGCAGGAATGCGAACGACATTTTGTGGCAAACACAAGGTTTCTCACATCTGGACGAGTCCAAGTTTGCTTGCCATTTAAAGAGAATCCTCACATGCTAGGTAAATCTTTTGAAATTGCCAAATCCCGGTTTTTGCAAAATGAACGGAGGTTGAGCCGCAACCCGTTGTTAAAGGAGATGTACGTTCAATTCATGAGGGAATACCTAGATTTGAAGCACATGCAATTGGCATCTGATTTCGACTCTCAAAAGACCCATTATGTAATCCCGCATCATGGAGTCCTGAGATCAGAAAGCACGACTACCAAGCTGCGTGTTGTGTTTGATGCATCGTGCAAAACAACGTCGAACCTTTCTCTGAATGAGTTGTTGATGATTGGCCCAAGCATCCAGCAGAATCTTATCCTAACACTTCTTGCCTTTCGCTTACATCGTCATGCACTTGTAGCTGATATCTGCAAGATGTATCGCCAGTTTGAAGTATCACCAGACGATCGTATGTATCAACTTGTTCTCTGGGGAGAATCCTCAGCTGCGCCTTTAGAATTGTTTCAGCTCAACACTGTCACGTACGGCATGTCCTGCGCACCATTTCTAGCAATCAGGAGCTTGAAATATATTGCAGATAAGTTCTCAAATCAGTTTCCCATCGGAGCAGCAGTACTTAAAGAAGATATGTACGTCGATGATCTCCTTACTGGAGCAGACAGTGTCGAAGAGCTTCATCTCAAGGCTACAGAGGTCACCAGCATACTTTCTAAGGCTGGATTAGAGCTTGCAAAGTGGAACACAAGCAAAATCGAAGGCAACGGAGCAGAGTTTCAATTTAGGGTTGATACCAAAGATGTTACGAAGACTTTGGGCATGTCGTGGCAACCAAAACTAGATGTGTTTTGTTTCAGGTATACCCTACCTACAATCTCTGTCGTCACCAAGCGGAGCATCGTTTCACTTGTAGCTCACCTGTACGATTTGCTAGGGCTCGATGCAAAATATTGGTCCAAGAGTTGTGGATGCATCGTCTAAACTGGGACAATCCACTTCCCCCTGAGCTTCAATCTCAGTGGAAGCGAATAGAAGAAGATTTGCACAATCTTCAAACCATCGAAGTTCCAAGATTTATTAACTCGTCACCTAAAAATCTATCGGAAATACACGGATTTTCAGATGCATCGCAGCGAGCTTATGGCTGTTGCCTATATCTACGAACATACATAAACGGAGAGTTCAAATCAATGCTAATCATCGCCAAGTCTAAGGTGGCCCCAATAAAAGCAATTTCAATTATTGTGTCAAACATGGGCCAAGATTAAGCATAAATTCTAAAAATACATTGATAGTTTTTTCTTTTGGACAGATTCAAGAATCGTTCTACAGTGGCTTACCATGCACTCGTCCAGGCTAAACTGTTTCGTCGCTAACCGGATTTCTGAGATGCAATCAACCACGTCAAACATCACTTGGAGGCACGTTCCGGGCAAGGACAATCCCGCGGACATAGTTTCAAGAGGCTGCGCAGCGTCCGAGCTTATGGAAACTATATGGTTTCGTGGACCAAGCTTCTTACGTCAAGACTCATCTGGATGGCCTCAACCAGTACCAAATTCTCAGGACACCAATGAAGAGTTGGAGCTGCGAAAAGCAACAGTCCTCACATGTACCGATAATGGAAGCAAGGAAGATGTATTCGATGAAGTTATCAACAAATTCTCATCCTATCGGCGCATTTTGCGAGTCATAGCTTTTGTGTTGCGCGTCTTTAATAGAATCAAGGTCAACAAAAAGGTGAACTTAGTCGATGTAATTCATACACCAGCAACTGAATTGCAATACGCGTTAAAGCACATCGTATCACATATTCAGCAGAAGACCTTTTTCAACGAAATCTAGCAGCTAAAGGAAAACAGGATTTTAAAACCCGAATTTCAGAAACTAAATCTGTTCCTAGCAGCGACTAACGGGCCAAACGGTTCGATAACACTATTACGTGTAGGAAGCCGCTTAGCCAAGGCGCCCATTTCACTCGATGGCAAATTTCCTGTTCTTCTACCAAAGAATCATTGCTTCACGTTGAAATTTGTTGAGTATCTCCACCGGCATCACATGCACGCTGGACCAAAGGCTCTCATTGGAATCCTGCGACTTCAGGCTTGGATTGTAAACGCCAGAGAAGTTGTGCGAAGGATTGTACGGCGCTGCACACACTGTTACCATTATAAGCCTCGTTTAATGGAACAAATGATGGGATCACTTCCAGTTGATCGCTTTCATTCACAGCGACCTTTTTTTGTAACATCATACCGCATTCGAAGCAAGGTGCCATATAAAACATACATGGCCGTGTTTATATGCTTTTCGTCAAAAGCAATCCACATAGAACTCATTTCCGATCTATCTACTAATAATTTTGTTCTCTGTTTAAAGCGCTTCGTCAGTCGCAGAGGCATCCCACTACGCATTTATTGTGACAATGCAACTAATTTCGTCGGTGCACGATCGCAGCTCGAGGACTTTAAGCAGCAGCTATTCGACGAAGCCAACACATTGAATTTGCAGAAGTTCAGCAGCATCGTGGGATTCGAGTTCAAGTTCATCCCTCCGCGTGCTCCCCACTTTGGCGGCTTGTGGGAGGCCGCAGTGAAGTCCATGAAGAGCCTAATGATGAAAAACTTGGGCAACACTGGGCTAACGTACGAGGAGCTTCAAACGATTGCAATCGAGTCGGAGGCAATCTTGAACTCAAGACCAATGGCACCCCTTTCCGAAGACCCAAACGATGGAGAGGCGCTTAGCCCAGCGCACTTGCTGATTGGGTCCTCTTTGATGTCCGTACCGGAGCCTTCAATTGACGAGAGCAGACCATCTTATCTTACGCGGTGGCAGCGCGTAACGTATTTGAAGCAGCAGTTCTGGGAGCTATGGAGGCGTGACTATTTACACACGCTTCAGGAGCGCTCCAAATGGCTCAAACCCCACGCCAACATTCAAATTGGCCAAATGGTGATTGTTCACGAGGATAATACACCTCCCCAGGAATGGATCCTTGGTCGCATCACCAACACGCATGTCGGAGCTGATGGACGAGTACGAGTGGCCGAGATCAAGGTGAAAAATGGAACCATTCGAAGACCCATCTGTAAGATAGCGCCCCTGCCTGAGCAAACTGGTGCTTGAATACTCCTTGGATCATTCAACGGGCGGAGAATGTTCGATGACATCATAAGTCAACCTCATTTTTGATTTAATTATTATTATTGTTATGAATAACTTCGTTCAAGCTGATTAATAATTTGAATTCTTTGCCAACTTGTTATATTTAATTACCCCACACTGCAATCATATGCTTATGTTTTGAATTCGCCTTACGCTCTTTTATACATGCAGCTCACACATGTACATACATACATATCTCTCTTTATAATCTCGAAATCGAACATTAAAAATCAGTGCATATTAGAGACCGAAACAAGTCGAACGTTTTATTCCATTCTAATAACTCTGCATTCGACAGAGTCCGCACACCACCTTTACACTATTACAATCGGCTTTAGTTTTCTCTTGTATATAAGACAATACATCAGAAGATGTTTGATCAGGGGAAAGCCGAGAAACAAAAATTTGTTTTTTTAGTGGAAACACTGAAAGGGATTTTGGTGGACCAGACATTGTTTCTGCAAAACCAACTTGAGCCGGTTGTCCAGACTCAGTAGTCCCTTGTGGTGGTGATGGTACATTCTGAGAGATAGATGGATCCACTAATTGTGAATCCACTACGGACAAATCGGAATTCTTAGAAGTCCCTGATTGCATGCATTGTGTTACAGATTGTTCGGATACGGAATCTTTTTTAGCTGCTGATCTTAGCAACATTTTAGGGTTTGTTGCAATCAGCTGCTGATCCGCCGGAATGCTCTGTTGTTCTTTTGTTTTCGGTTGCGGGGTGTTCCCCTTTTGCTGCTTACCACCAGCAAGCTTTTTGCACTTAGGGGACTCTTCTAATAGCTTACGACTATTAAACTGCGAATCCAGCACAGAGAGGAGATCATCAGCTCGGCGAAAACTATCTCTAGCAATTCCGAAACAGCTAATCAGCCCCATCAGGCCGCCTTTAGTTTGGCGCATGAACGATTTCATCTCGTTCGCAACCTCGACACAAGCATCACAACAAAACTGCAAATTGGGCCCCTTTGAAAGGTCATCACTTGTCCGGCCAGTAAAACCGTCGCTTTTGGTGTGCAACATATTTTCAAACAGCCAGTAAGTCATATTAGACTGGTTAGCCCTGATTACGAGGCTGCATTTTTTTCAGAAGCAGACTAAATTTTTATTATTCATTTTATCTATTGGAACCACTGTACCAAGAAAACGAATTGAAATTTATAAGCGAGCAGTTATAAGTACCGCAAGAGCGCAGAGCCTGCACGCTTAGAACTTTCAAAGCAGAGAGAGCGAGAGCGCGGGAGCATAAGTTAGTTAAAGTGCATGCAAAAGCAACACTAAAAACAGCACTACGACTTACGACGGTCAACGCACAAAAGAGAAACGGCGTGGTTACAAGAAAAGAAAACACAGAACAGAATTACGAAATTAAAACAATTTTTTAGTGTGTATATCACACTTATATCAAGTGCACAAAGATTTATAGTTCACTCGCGAAGCGAACGAAATTTCAATGTATGTTTGAATTAACTGTAAGAAAATGAAAATTGTTTTGATAAAACCCACCGATGGGAATAACCGAAACAAAAATACAAAATCGGAGCGCAGAAAAAAAACACTACCGTTCACTTTGGAAGTCAAAGACGCATAAAGGTGCAGACTTTGTGCCATATGTGACTGTTTTCAACCGATAATACTTAAGTCTTTCTGAAGGATCATTTCTCCATACGATCATTTGGTATTGTTGATCATTTGGATTTATCCAAATTTGCCTGTACATTTTTTCAATGTCAGCGGTAAACACGTATTTATGCATTCTAACTCGAAGCAGTATTGACATTAAACTTTTTTGCACTGTAGTACCTTTGTGCAACAAATCGTTTAATGATTTCCCGGAAGATGTCACTGCAGATGGGTCGAATACAAGTCTTAATTTGGTAGTCTGACTGTTGGGTTTGAGCACACAGTGATGCGGTATAAAGTAATGAGACTTCGGAAGATGTGTCTGGGGAACTTCCTTCATATGTCCAAGAGTTTCAAACCCTTTAAAAACTCTATGTAACTTTCTTTGATAGCTTGATCTCTTTGCAATCGTTTCTCTAGCGATAAAAACCGTATCGTGGCTATGTCACGACTCTCCCCCAGCGCTGATGTATGCTCCAAAAATCTGCAGTTCTGAGCCTTCTGAATGTTTTGCAGAAAGTGATCTTCACTGTTTTTCCACTGGTGAATAACATTTTGATTCTGGTTGAAAATTGTCCAGTTCCCAGAATTTGGCGAGTTGCTCGTCCACTTTTTTTCCTTCCGTAAGTACAACACATACTGATGATGAAGGTGCTCTCTCCGAAATTTTACCGGCTATTCTGTAGCTTGGGGAGTCTATTCTTCAAATTCATGCGCTCTGCTTGCATTATATTGAAATAGTGCTCGGCTCCAAGAACAATATCAACCTTTCTTGGTTTTACAAATTGAGGGTCAGCCAATGTAATATTTTTAGGTATTTTCCAATTATCAGTCGAAATTGTATACGTAGGTTGATCAGCGACTATGTGAGGCAAAACCATTCAAGCCGTGAACTAAAATCGCCCTGTTTTGATTTTAGCTGCACATTGATGCTTGCATTGGAAGTGTATGATTTTTCGCCAATGCCATTTATTTTAAGCATTGAATTTGTGGTTTAAAGTGCGAGCATTTTGATTGCTTTTTCGGAAATGGCATTAATTTGGGATCCAAAGTCAAGCAATGCTCTAAATTCTGCTTTTTGTCCATTGTCTCCTTGAATAATCACACGAGCAGTCGCCAGGAGAATATAACTGGATTGTTTTCCACTCGCAGATGCCGCCGTGATGCCATTCAAAGGGTCAGGCTTTGTTTCTAAATGCAACAAGGTATTATGTTTTTTGTTGCACTTAAAGCAATCTCTCTTTGTGCATGTCCTTGACGGGTGTTTTTGAGTTAGACATTTAAAACATAATTTAACGTATTACTTAATACTCTTTTATTGTTGAAGCGTTCTTCAAGTGTTTTCCAAGCAGTTGAATATTTAGCTTCGGTTAATGATAAATGGCGAATTAATCGTTCTGCCTCTCCATTAACATTAGTTTTTAAATACCACAACTTTTGTTTTGTGGGTAACGTTGATTCATGAATCATTTTTTTGAATATATCATGAACGTGAGAAAAATTTAGCTTGGTTTCATCAGTCATTTTGTTCATGATGCGCTCAAACTATCAAGCAACACCCTTTGTTCTCTGAACATCGATTCTATTTCAGTATCCTCTACTGTGGATGCAATGGATCCAACTTCCATTTCCAAGAGAGATAACTGCTAATTGAATTCAGTATTATAATCATCAACCAGTTTCCTAATAAAGAATTCGTTTTTGAAATAATCATGTTCTAAAGTGGCTCCATTAAGAAAATTATTTATTTGTATTTCTCCGGAGTTAAATTTATCCCACAAGGATTCTAACGTTAATAAAAGTTCTCTATAGTAGGCTGGCTTAGTCTTCCTGTCGGCGGAGTCCTTTCTATAATTTCGAATGCAATTATGAATTTGCTCTCCTACTAAAAACTGTTCATTCAACAACTGATGAATGCTGTTCGGCGCCATTTTTGCTTTTCTTATATAATCCGTTCAAGAGGTATTTTTTTTATGATGTGCCTCGACTCACACCAATGGGTTATATATGTTATATGTAAATTGGCTTTGAACAGATCGATCAGAGTAATCAACAGTTTGGTTGCTTCAAATCGCCTGGTTGATCAGAACCTCTCCTTATACAACGCAGATCTAACTTCCTTCCCGGAGGATACATGGCAAAGCTGGCAGACCAGGTCAGACAAAGGAAGCAAGCCTACGGGGAAAGCTTTTAAGATTTCATGGTGGACATGCAGACCCTGATGCGGCCACAAAATGTGTCGACCAAGGAAACTCTGGAGAGAATAAAAGAAAACAGCACGCCGGCACTCCGGATGTTCGCCCATACGAATGTCGACATTTGGATACCTTGATGGCACTGGCAGACGAGTTTGAGGAACTCGACCAGCAGCGGGAGAAGATTGAGCTGGAAAACAATCCCCGTAAGCAGCAAATGCAGGGCCATCCAGTACCAAGGCCAAGAACAGAACAGGGTGCGGTGTGCAGGCGGGGCCAGGAGGATCCGGACACACAACCAATAAATACGCCGCGCGGACACGAATCAGCAAACAATCGCGGCGGATACGTAGCGAATCCTACACAGGCCTGCCGCAGATGCGGGGGTCCAGATCACTGGGAATGCCGAATCCAACGGTTTACGTTCTGCTGGCGATACGGAAAAATAGGAGTTCGGACGGTTCAGTGCTGTTCCGGGTCGGGAAACGCCCAGCGACCCCAGCCTCCAAGGGGCGGCCAGGGATCGTAAGGTACTGCCTCTCGAAATTAATGGGCGACCTGCAGGCGGATGAAATGCACAGAGGATACCGGCGCCACGGCGAGCTTCATCAGCTAAGAGCTGGCGGACAGGCTGCAGGAAGGGTCGGACCCACGAGAAGGCAAGTAGGGATGGCAGACGATCGCCGCGGGGAAATAAAATCACAGCTGAAGAACAAAATCGGTCTTGGCACGAAATCAGTGTCAACGGAGCTGCTGATTTTACCATGCCGACGCCCTGGTATTGGGATTGAATTTTCTTACCAGAATCGGGGCCGAAGTCGAGTGCGCAGGACACAGCGCGTCGATACCGGCAAAGGATAGACGAGGAGGATGGCTGGAGGAGAAACTGTCGGTGGCAATAGTGGAAACACCCAAAAAATTCGCGGAAAAGGATGTGGAGTGGTTTCTAAGGGCCGAGTTGGAAAAACTGGAAGGCAGAAAGGGAACATCCAACGTGGCCGTACATAAGATCACCATGAAGGACGACCACGAGGCTGACAGCAGGCAGTACACGGCGTTTACTGTGCCAGAGAAAGGTCTTTTCCAATAAAAGGTGATGCCATTTGGTCTACACTTCGCGTCGGCAACATTCCAACA